CCTATGCAATCTGAATAAATAATAATAGGTACAGTGGATCAGAAAGCTGTTTTACTACTAAACTCCTTTGGTCTTGACCATGAATAAAGACTGCATTGTATTTGAGGCTGCTATCCAACTGAGTGTTCAGATAAATCACCAGTGTCCAATATTGGAAATTATAACATAAACCCACTCATAGCTACAAACTCACCATGATTGCTTTTGTGCTTTTTTTTTTTTTTTTTTTAATTACTGAAGGGTGTTTTGATGACTGTAGGTTTTCGTGTTTTCTATGGATTCTTTATCCTTGAAGTTTTCAGTTTGTTAGCATATACCTGTTGATGTGAAATATAGAATAAATCAGGAGCACAATTTTAATTCAGAGATCAGTGCCTTCTGTAGTTGGGGTAGTGCAAGTTGAGAGGTAGGTGAGATGTGATGGGTGAGAGTTGGTGATGGGAAGACTCCACAGTGAGCTCTTTCCCCACAGGGGTGGGGAAACCCTCTCAACTGCAGCACTGAGATACTTCTACTGCTTCATCATCTCTGACTGACCCTTTAATTTTTAGGAGGTGCTTCTCCAAAAAAGATGTGTGCCTCTGTTAATTTTGGTGATGTTAGTCCTCAGTGATCAAATGGCACGTGGATGAAGACAATGTTAATACCTTCCCAGGTAGAGTGGGGCCCCAGAGACTTCTCACTTCTCTCTCTTCTCCTGGGCTGATACAAATGAATGAGAACTTGGTCAAGTTAGCTGGTGTTACGTTGATGGCAAACAGGCATTGCTGAGGTTGAAATCTAACCAAAAAATGTTGATGGGGGCCAATATGTGGAAAACTCTTCTCAATTTCCTGTCACCAGATTTGAATAGTTTTTGTCAATAGTATCAGCTAAATGTTTTATCTTCTCCTAGGTTTTCTCTCCCCCGCCTCCCAACCTCTTTCCCCCATTGACCTCTACAAGTGCAGTCCTAGCTGTTGATTTATCGGGGCAGGCTAGCTCAGCGCTGTGTGGAGATTGCTTTTAATTAACTCTCTTCGTTTTTTCCAACCTTCAGGGAGCAGCAACCCTTTAATGATTTTAATATTTTATCTGGATTTATATCCACCTTATGTGTTGTTTGTTGCTCTGCTTCCTCACATGTTCTTCCTGAGTCATTTCCCAGAATGAAATGTTTGTTTCAGGCCCCTCATACAGGATGAGGAGGAACGTTTTTAATGGCTTCTGGATTGGGAGGATGGACTCTCTACGATCTACCCTGGTGTTTTGGAGAGGGATGGGGAGTGTGAGGTGATGCATGGATGGGGAGTATGAGGTGATGCATTCTTGTGCTGTCTTTGAGCAAGACTCACTTCAGTGTTCTGCCTCCGTGCACAGCAAGAGACAGCTTTGTTTCGTGGTTGCAGCATGGCAGATCAGAGCCTACTGAATTAAATCTGACCCCTGACTTTTTGTATGGCATAGATAAGTCATGAGCTTATTTTAACAATCAGGTATGACTCTCATGCTAGTCAGGCCGAGTAGAGGGGGCACTAATGCTCTCAGGCACCTGTTGCTAAAATGTAGTTAACTTCCTGGGCATGAATACAGGTCTAAAGGAGAGTCCCTCTTTACCTGCAAAAGACTACCTTTCCCTCTTGTGAGTAGCTCTGTCAAGTGAGGTATCTTCAGACTCACAAAGCAGCTCTTCGAATTTTCTCGCACCTGGAATTTTCTTTTTATGTATCCTACAATGAAGATTTCAGGAGGTTCCAGCATGAGATAATTAGGAAAAATACGTTATTTGTAATGTAAAATATGTGGCATTTTCATGCCAGAGCAGGAAAATGCTTTAAAATCATGCTTAAAGTAAGCATCACAGTCCCTTCTGTGGGATTATTTTCTCCATTCTTCTGATGGGAGGAATGGCATGCACTGACTGACTTGGTGATGGTCTCACTAGTTACACCATCAACCACGGACAGAATTGGATGTTAAGAAACCACATTGCATTGCTTTTGGTGTTGAGTGCTAGATGGTACATGAGAGATGTGTTGAAAGTGAACAGGAATCCTTCCTTGGTAGCACTTCCATAGCACATCCATTAGGGACATGGAGGAAGAGTGGGAAAGTGAGTTAAGACTGTCTGACTGGTTCTGATGGAGGAAGTCCACTGATAAATATCTCTAAACCATCCTTAATGACAGTGGTTTATGCCTGGAGCTGATAAAGGCACCGTTGGGGTATAAAGATTATACCCTGGTAATGAACCAAGTGGCAGGTAGTTTTGCATTTCAAAATAGACAATACAATGTCATCAGTGTGAGAACAGTTTGACTCAATTTATTTTGGAAGGCTACTTGTAAGTATGCTTAAGTGTATTTAAAGTCCCTTGGTTAAAATGGCAACAGAAATGAAGAAGTCCCAGATCTAGTCCTCCCTTACTGAGGAAAGTGACTCTGAGTCAGTGGTTAAAAGGAACACAGTCGTGGGTGCTCCTTATCAAAATATTGGCGACACATCACTGCATAAGTTCATTTATGTCATCTGGTCTGTGGTTTGTGTTTGTGTCTCTCCTATCTTCCTCTGCAGCCCACTTTTCTTAAAAAAAAAAAAAAACAACCAAACACAACTGTTTGGGTGTATTTTTTTTCCATGTTGTTGCTGGGATTCCAAAGGAACTAACTTCTGGTATTCTCATCTGACCAGACTGCAAATGTATCTGGTTCAGGTATTCATTCTGCTGAGTAGATCTGAAAGTAAATTCCCTCCTCCTCTATTATTAACTTTCTAGTTTTGTTTCCACAACTAACTTATCCACAAAGTCCTGGGGTTAGGAGAGGCTGTCTCTCCCGACACGTCTTCCGAATTCCTCACTGCTAAACACACACCATGCAAAGTCAAAACCTGGCTGGCCCTCAAAGGCAGTCTATTTCCCAGGCTGCTGTTTCCAGCTACCTTCTGCCCCATGCACCCCTCGGAGGGGAAGAGGAGGAACAGATGAGGGGTGAGCACTCTGCCTTTGAGAAAGGCTCTGACCTGAAAATGGATTGCAATTCCAGCCGAATGGTTCCTTCCCCTGGTAACAGAATTGCACGCCTGGGCTCTGAGCTCTTTGCATTAATTCCATCTCTGCTAAACTTTCCCAGTCAATTAACCATGTCCATCTCCTGCTCTAGCAGCCACATGTGCCTTTTCTGCCGCAGCAGGGTTTTGGAACAGTAACTCTCTGCAGCCTTTGCTGCAGCAGTTTTCCTCCAGCAGTTTTCCTCCAGCAGCTTCCCTCAAGCATGGTTATCAATCAGGACCTGTCAGGTTTTTCCCTCCGACACATCTATTTTCAGGGCTGTAGGACTTTGACCTTTTGCTTTTGTCTTTATAAGTACTTTTTTTTTTTTCTTTTTTTTTTTTCCCCCCTCCCCAATAGGGGCCAGCTCAAATGCTGAACGTTCGGTCTTTACACTGATGCAAATGCTGCATGAAAATTTCAACCTTCAGTGTAAGGAGATTCTGCTAAACCTGGATATTTCTTTTGGTTTCGGTCATTTTGCCTCCCTCGGGTTTTAATTTTGCCTGTCAAAAAGGCCTCATTAAGCTGGCCAGTAGTTCTTGTGTGGTGTTCCAGGCAGCACCCGCAGTGCAGCGATCTCCTCTGAGTAGCTGGCTAAAAGGACTGGATGAAAGAGTCGTGAGTTCTTGGAGGCTGAAGTGTCTGGGAGATGCTTACCCATGGGGTTTGATACAGACTACCTTTGAAGGGAATTCTGCACACAACTCTGGAAGAACGGTTTGGATGCTGGCACTAGTGGTCTCTTGGCAAAGTACTTAAGGGGCTGTGACAGTGGCTTGAGCATGATTTTCTTGCATGTCGTACTACCATCAAAGGCCAGGTTGGGCTAGAGTGCCTATTAAAGCAAGAGGCTATGTTTAATATCTTGTCTTGAATGTGTGGTTGAGCCTGGTCCTGCTCCTAGTGGGTAGGTACCTATATCACAAAGGCTGTCATCCCAGTTGGCACTAATTGATTCCTGTGTGGGTACTTTCAGATGAGAAAAGAAAGACCAAATTGGCCACAGAGGCTCAATTAATAGAAGTGTAGATTTAAAAGAGGGTTCCTGGGTCTTATGTCCAGTCCCCTGGTACCATGTCAGATAATCCCTTTCATAAACTGAAAAATCCTTGTCTTAAATCCCCACTTGGACTGTTTGTTCCCATTACTTCTCTTGGGACGGTTCCAGAACCCACTGCTCTGATGGCTGGAAATAGCATTTTAATCCCTAGCCTAGCCCTACTTGTGACCAGTTTATATCCATTTGTTCTGGTGCCAGCATGGAGTTGTTAGTTTAAATACTATTGCTCCCTCCATGTCTTCCTCTCCATTACCATGCATTTGTATGAGACTATTATAAGCCCTCTCAGTCTTTGTTTTGATATACTAAACCGCTTGTGCTATCTTCCTTTCCTCTGATCGCTGGAGTATTTATTGTCCTTGTCTTCTCTACCTCAGCTTGGATTACTCACATTCAACTTTTTTGAGTGTGAGTAGACAGAATTGTACTCTGTTCCAGGTGAAGTTGTGCCTTCTACAATAACTTTATTTTTTTACCTCTTCTGGGAGCACCTTGCTTTTGCATTTGTTTGTGATTGTATTGTACTGGTGGTTCATAGTCATCCTGTGGTAGACTAATACTGTTATGTTTCTTCTGTCCTTTCAGCTGTTGTTGTTGAGATTATGATCTCCTGGGTAGTGAGTGAAATTTATACTGAATTTACTCCATCTAATTCTTCTTGCCTGATATTCTTAATTTTCTTGATACTGAATAAGATCAGTCCACAGACCAATCCTTTGATTGGAGACCAACTCCAGAAGTAACCTCCTGTCAGCCAGTTACTGTCTCTGTTAGGACTTTACCTGTGTCTGACCCTCTTTCAGTGGCTTTTCAGTCATATCTCCATTCTTGTACTAATCCTCATCTTCTCCATTTTCAGTAATTTCTCATATAGTACTGTATGAAACGTTTTCTGAAAGTCCTAAGCTAAGAAGATGTCTAGAACATCAGTATCTTACGAAGGCAAGATGTCAGGTTACTCTGGCACAAGGTATGGATCTTGCATCTTAGTTGTTTCCTTGTTCAAGAATGTTCTTGATGAATTTTATGCTTCAAAAAACTGCATGTGAGTGAACTCTGGCTCAGCCTTACTGCAGTAACTTGCAAGGTTTATGTTCTAAAACAATTAACAAAGAGTATTTTATTTTGCTTGCTATAAGTCAGTAATATAGTAGTAACTGTGCTTTGAAGTATCTGCTTAAAGAACTTGCTAGTAGATGTATGGTTTCATGTCGCAGTTCTTGGGCAGAGATTATTCAGAATTTATGCCTTGACTGCACAAATGTCTTTGTGGCTTCCACCTCAGTCATCCCACTGAAGCACAGCATTCCTTTAGTTCTTGGCCTGTACCTACATTATATTTAATCTATGTACCATTCTAACTGTAAAACAGCTGAACTGTCTTTGATCACTTTTATTTTGATGTCTGAAGAATATTACTATTTTTTAATAGCTTTTGCAAGTTCTAACTCTTGACTTTGGCAATTGCCCCTATACTTCCTTTAAGATCCAATTTTTATTCCTGTTAATACTGTTTTCTGTTCCTGAAGGGTATCTGTTTAATTCTGATGTCCTTTTCCAAGGTAATTGTTCAGCCAATAACTTCCCCAGTCTTTCCATACAAGTTTCAAACAATTCTTGCATTTTTCTCTTAAAGAAATTCCCCCATTTCTGCTGTATTCCACACCTCCCATGCTTAAAGAGCAGGTCTGAAGCAGTCAGGAACAGGTTTGAAGCACTTTGTGATGGTGATAGATGGGAGTTGTACAGTTTTGGACCTATTCTTGTACTGCGGAAGACGTATGCCATGTTGATCCAGGGCAAGCAGGACCATTCTGCTTAATAGTAAGTTGTTTTACTTAATTAGATCATGCCTAAATGTGGCTTTTAAAAGTTCATTAGTGTAAAACAACGTTGTGTCTTTCACCAGAATTGCAACCATTAAGTAAAAATCCAAAGGAGTAACATACAGTTGATTTTTTTTTCTTAAATGACCTTGTTCCATTTTTCTCTGATGTTATTGGTCTTATTCAGAGAAAACTGTGTGTTTAATACATAATACATGTAACTTTGTGTGTGTGTATAATATAGGAAAGAAAGAATGTATTTATAGATGGTGTTTAGGAAAACACGGTATTGTTCGTTAATCAATGTCTTGGCACTTTAAACATTTCCATATACTTCTTACTGATTTATATCAGTATATGATTCAATTCTTTCCTACTGGTCATTTCAAAAACTCATGTAAATAGGAAAAAATGATACATATATAATTTTTTTTTTTCTCTTACTAGAGGGCTCTGAGAACTTTTAAAATATTACAGCACTCTTTGGATCAATGCATATCCCAGCATTCCCTTGCATAAATGACCTAAAATCGTGTGATCAAACCTCTTCTCCCCTCCCCATCCCTAGAGAGATATTTGTAATTAGATAAAATGAGGACAGAATATGCATAAGTATCTGTTATGCTGGGATTCCTGCCCAGAAAGGAAACTAATGGCCTGAGCTGGCCATAATCTTTTGCACCCCGTGTACTATTGACAAGGCTACAGCTTGAGATGTTGGGAGTTCAGGAGTAGATTTTTGCTGCTGTCTTATGGTAACCTTTCTAAATTGACTGTTTTCCAAAACAAGTGGAATTACACAGCCTATATTTTACTTGTCATTCATTGTTCGGGACGTTTTGCTTGTAAGAGAGGGCCTGATTCTTCAGTCTCATGCCTAATGCAGTGGAAGTGAGGGTAAATTACTGCTTCTGTGGCCTGGAAGTGTTTCCACATTCATTTTGCCCAGATGTAAATGACCACATGAAGTGCAAGGCAGCGGAGAACTGGAAGTGGAGTTGTCGTTGGTTATTTTTTTCCATTTCATCTAGCAATTACTGCTTGTCTCTCTTCAGAGGAAGGGATGGTGGGGTTCTGTGGGCAAATTCAGCACACTCTAATCAAACTAAGTAGCCCCTTTGAAGTCTGTGTGACAGGTTGTCTAGTACTGTGATGCTGCACAATGCAAGAGGATCAGATACGTAGCAGTTCAGAAATTGGGAGGCTGCTTTATTGCACTGTTGCCATAGTCTTCTTTCTCCCAATGTGTATAGTAGGTATCAGCTCACCCCTCACAAAACTCTAGATTTTAGTCCTCTGCTAGGTTTTCAGGTTTTGTCTTGTGACTTGGCAACGGTGAAACACAAACCCTGGGCACTTATGAATCTGTCAGTCTTCCTCAGATATCTCAGTCGTTGGTAAATCCACTGATGAAAAGCTTTTCTTGGAGCAGGCAGGCAGCCTGCATGCTAGTCTTCCTCTCTTGCTTCGCTTCAGTGTCCTTGGGGTAAATGTCAGTGAAAGTAAGAGAAGTGTTTTGATAAAAGGAGGGGCAAGGTCACGTAAAAACCTCCTGCACATTCCCAAGGATGGTGTCTATCCAGCATTTCCATTGCTCTGCCCGGTGTAGCTAAATCAGAGAGCCAAGCCATGCTGAAATGTGATTCTTTTTTTTGAAATTATGTCCAGTTTGGCATCTTTTTGAGCTGAGAAAGTTTGGCTTGCTCTCCTTCTCCACTCACAGTAATTTGCAGAGTGGGAGATTCGGGGTGAATCTCTGTTTTCTGTGCTTACAAGGCAGCAGGAGCTTCTATGGCTGGGCTGGAATGTGTTGTTTCAACACACTGCATGTGAAAAAAAAACTTTAGCTTCATACAGACTGTGGTTTTTGTTTGTACTCAGTCAGTGTGATTTCACTGAAGTCCAAAAAGTTATGTCAGTGTGAGAGACAAACCACGTCTATGTTATTTCAAGACAACTGTACTACCAGAGAAAGTTCCTTTTATTCCTCCCCCTTAAATTTTCAGAATCTCCCTCCACCTCAGATATTCAGTAGCACCTGATGCTTATAATTTGGCAGCAGATGTTGACATCAGCAGCCACTTATCAGATCCTTAGCAGAAGCCTATAGCTTAACGTGCAGGACATGCAGCAGATGACTTCTTAGTAACAGGGATGGAGCAGAACAAAATCCTGGATCTCAGCACTTTTTGCGAGTGTCGAAGATTGAACCTGGATCTGAAGTTAAATGTCTGTCTTTAATGGACAGGATCCAAACACCCACATGCTTTGGCAGAACTCAGATCCAAATTTTGTCTACCTAAAGAATCAAGGTTCTGTTTTCATGTAGATTCTTCTACTAGTGAGAAGCAAGGGAAGGGATAAGACAGAAAATATGACACATTGGCAAAATTGTTTTTCAATACTATGTTTTTCAAAGTTTTTTCCATGAGGCGTCAGCAGCTCTTAAAAATCACAGGGAGAGTGTACAGTTGTCAATGAGCCAGAATGGTTAAATGCTTTTAAATATTTGAGTTGGGTTATTCCTTCACCTTTCTTTCTCACAAACATGTCTGGTAAAACTCCAGTAATGAAAACACTTGCTTGGGGAGGGGGATAAAATCCTTTTCAGCAAATAATGATGGTGACATTTTAGTCACATCATAACGACACTGTTAACAATGGTTTAGGTTTGGCATTGAACATATACACAACATTTGTTCTTTTATACAGTATTGGTATTACATAGTAAAAATAGCACAATTGCAAAACTCATTTGTTACCCTTGTGCCAACTTTGTTCAGCTGACAGTTGCTGTTTGAACTTTTAAAGCAACGTTTCATCCATATGTTAATACCAACTGTACAGTTAATTTTCTCTGCTTTCAAATGATCCTCTTGTGCCCTACAGCCCTGCATGGTATTTACTTCCCAGTTCGACATACCTGTAAAACCACTTCTGTCAGGTAAACTGTGCTCATCCCGAGTGGTCCCATACTTCGAGATGGTCAAGAGCAGCCACTGCCTTTAAATTTCCCAGCACCACATTCCTGCACAGAAGTTTGTTATAGGCACTGCACTGAGCTGTTTCAGAATGGTGCTGTTCAGAAATTTTCATCTTTCTAGTGAGAGATTTGGAGCTACTCTGCAATGTTTTTGGATGCCATATATTCTCTGATTATTTGCTGTCTGTGAAGGATGCTTCTTGTATAATTTCTCAGGTTAGTTTAATAGCAGGAGTTTGATCTTAAAAAAGGAAGAAGCAAAATCAAGAGGGCAAAAACAAGGCCAAGAGCATCCATAAATGAACACTGCAAGTAGTAACAGTGGGCAGCTCACGTGGAAGTCTCCACTGGATCACACTTGAAGTAGTTTTGGATTAACAAAGCCAAAAACCATGGCAAATGGGAAGGGGAAAGAACTCTTCCCAGGTGAAATGGTGCTCCCTTGGGTAGTTACTACCTGGAAACAGGATGACATACAGGTAGACCTGCTGCTGCATCCTTCAGCCAGAGAAGGCACAAGTAGATTTTATTTTAAAACCTTTCAAATTATTCCTTGTTCCTGCGGTTACAGTTACAGTGGTTTCCTGCCTTTGCTTCTTAACAGTTTCTTAGGTGGGGAACTAAAAATGAGTAGGAAAAAAATCAGTACACAGGAGTTTGTGTATAGATGACAACCCGATCCCAGAGAGGGGAATCAATGGGCTTTCACACTGGGCAGGGCATCAGGAGGGATACACTTAGAGAGATCAGAGAAGAGCCAAAAGTGCTGTTGGTCCCTAAGAAATACCACATACCTAGGAGTTACGCGAAGTGGTTTTGTTTTCTGACAGGCCTGCTCAGAGATTCACTCAATGTTCCTTTCATGTATTTATAAGCATATAAAATATGACACTGAACTTGGTCGTCGTGACGGATATTAGACCAAATCCTTATTTTGTTCCAAGATACCACTGAAGAGTCATGAGGTTGGTAAACCTTTTCTTAATTGGAGATTGTTCATAATAAAATCATAGCTACACAGTAGGGGACAGCGCTTGTGTGACACATTTATTGTTCTGCTTTAAGTTGGCAGCACACTTATATTGCAATAATTCCTACAAAATTTCTCTTCAACATGCTTACTCAGGGTGTCACCTACTCTAGTTGCTCCCTGGAACTGCA